ATTCCTAAAGTCAGACCAGAAATCTGATGGTTACCTTTGAAGCCCCCAACCCCAGTTTTTTTCAACCCACAGATACTAACTTGCCAGGGGTCTCCCAGATGCTCAGTCCTGAAACAAACACACAAAGACACAAAAGAGTTGTCTTTCTCAACCAAGCCAAGCTGGCAGACTAATTGTGGAGAGGCAGTGTACACACAAAATAGTGGAAGAGCTGTATCAAGGGCGGAGAACAAAAGACCAAATCATGTGGAATAGCTCCTCAGGGGCTAGAGCAGGGTGACCCAGAATCTCTGAGGGAAGACTGGTTCCAGAAGAGGGATTCATGATCCTGCCAGCCTACGCCATCTTCTTCAGTATAAAAACTCCCAGATGATGCCCTCAGCCCTCCCACCTGCCTACCAAACAGCTGCTTCGGTTCAACTCAGCAAGTGTTCAGTAGACGTCGACTATACATGTATACCAGGTTTCCAGCTAAGAATTCAAAGGTGGGTAATATACACCCCAATGCCTTTGAGGAATTCATAACTTGGTAAAGGGGGGAAATCCACAATTTGGTATGTCAATGTCTTAAATGTTTGTAATCATACCGTGTACAAACAGCACTGAGGAGAGGGCTTTACCTCTGCCTGTGGGAAACCAAAAAGGCTCCTGTCATGTGAGCTAGCTCTTAAGGGATGAATCATATTTTACCAGGTGGGAGAAATTAAAAAACAAGCACATACCAGGAGGGGAAACAGCATGAGCAGAGATGTAGGAGGACATGGAATCTACCCTCTGTGCGGGTGGAGTGGGGGAGCGGGGGCGGTGTCCGAAAAAGGAGAGGGTCGTGTTCCGGTCATGGAGTTATGTGGCTACAAGCCCTCAGCAGGGAATATACCCATGTCCTCCCCAAAGCAGGAGGGTTCCTGAATTTCCGTGTGCCTTTCTCTCCCCTATCCCTGAGAGGGGCAGCAGCAGGGTTGGCTGGCCAGACTTCTGTCCACACTGCCTGCCACCTCCAATCTATCAACATGCCTTGTGCCTCTCCTAATGAGAGGTTAGGATTAGGATGCCTCCCCCACCTCCTGCCTCCCTTGCCAGGTTCCAGGGGAACTGAGCTGCCTGAGCTAAATGTTTCCCTCACAGGTCACATATACACATCCATGGATTCTCCCTGAAATCCATGGGAACAAGGATAACCTCGTGTAACCTGCGAGCTTAGGAAAGTGAGAGTAGAAACTGGGATAGGGTCTAGGATGAGAGCCTGTGTCCTATGGGGAGAGGGGGAAGCAGGTGTGTACGAGTTCGGGAGGTCCCATGGCAGGGTGGGGCATAGCAGCAGAGGAGGGATGGCAGAAATGTGTGGGGATTGTGTCTGTGTTTTTTGCAGTAATAAATGGTGTAGGGTGGGAGAGAGAGGCACCTAGGCTAGCCGTGGGGGTCGAGTGGCCCCGGCTGGGAAGCCCAGGCTGTGGAGAGAAAAGGGGGGGCGCATAGTCCGCCAAATGTGCCATCTGCCTCCCAGGCACCCTCCAGGCCTCAAGGCTATCTCTCCTCCCACCAGTAAGAGCCTCTGATGGTGTCTCTCCCTAGATAGGGGCTTTCAGGGGCACAGGAACATGTGTTGCTCTGGTGACCAGGTCTTTGGACTGGGGGAAGCCCCCTCCCACACCACCTGATGCCCAGGAAGACCGCAGTCCAAGCGCTGTCCTCTTCTGCCAGGCGGTTAGATCTTCCCATTCACCTGGTATGCCAGGGCAGAGATGAGTTTTGCCAAGGCCATCTGCTCTGAGGGCCTGGAGACACATGGACACAGGATTCCTGGGGATGAGGTTGCAAGGGGGGAGGGTCATATGAACAAAGGAAAACCCTCTGGCCTTCCAGTCACCAAATCGAGGGTCTGGTCCTGTCTCTGTGTGACCTTGGGCAAGTCACCTCACCTCTCTAGGCCTCAGTTTTCTCATCTATTCAGTAAGCGGTTTGGAGTAGATGATCTTCAGGGGGCCATGCATCTGGGATTCAGTATCTGGTCACAGGGAGGGAATGGGGGACAAAGAACATTACTGTAGAGCCTAGGAAGATGTAGGGTACAGGGGCAGAATCTGGGGAGATAGCTTAGCCACTCTATCCCCTGCCTTCAGCAAAGACTTGCCCTGTTTCCTTCCTAAGACACCAAGGAAAGGGAAGTCTCTCAGCTGCCCTCTGATTCCATGGGTTCTATAGCCATGGATTCAACCAACCGCAGATCAAAAATATTCAGAAACTAATTCCACAGAGTTCCAAAAAGCAAAACTTGGATTTGTTGCATGCCACGTATTCTGTTGAATCCTCATGAGTAAAGTGATGTGTAGGCATTATATTGGGTATGAGAAGTAATCTAGAGATGATTTAAAATATACAGAGGATGGAGGCATAGACTATATGCAAACACTAGGCTGTTTTCTGTCATAGACTCAAGCACCCATGGATTTGGGGATCTGAGGGATGACCGCACATCTGAAGGGGAGGGAAGGGATACTTCCCAGCCCCCTGAGGACCCTATATACTGTCTTCTAGTGTGTGTGCTCCCCGGAAGTCCCTTTTCCTTCCTCCCCTTCTATCCTGGTCATGATCTTATCTGTGCACTTGAAGTCGGCTTTTGAATCCTGATTCATCCCCTATTCACCTTCTCTTTGAAACACCCAGGCCTTCAGACCCTCCCTCTGGTGATTTCGCTCAATTATAGACCCTGTGCTGGGGTGAGGGTGGGGGTAAGGGTCTCAATGCCTAAGCTTGGCCACATTTTATCTTTGGATTTCAGCTATGCAGCCCAGGCCTCATCTCTCGGTGGCTGCAAAATAAAGCTAACAAGGCAAGCTCCATCCCTCCTAGCCTCTCCCTACCCCAACCAAGCCTTCTCTGAGCGTTCAGAATCTGGGGGGGGGGTCCTCTCCTTTGGGGGAGGAGCACTGCCTGCCCCTCAGAGATGTGGCCTTCTCAGGAGGAGGAACCAACAGAATAAGAGGAGAGCAGAGTGGGAGGTGGGAAGCTGAGGGGG